CCACGGAAGCCAACTGACATTGTCCTTTGTCCAGGACCTAGGATGATAAAGAACATGGCTGGTTGGCTGTGGAGGAGAGAAAGAGAAGAAAAAAAAGCTGAGGGAAGGGGTCATATGTCCACAGTTAAGTATTCTAATTTGGAAGTGGCATACCCTTTTAATTCACAAGTCATTGGCCAGAACTATTCGTGTCCTCTCCCAACCCCCAACCCTCACCAGGAGGCTGGAAAGCACAGTCTTAACAAGTTTCCGGAAGGGAGGACTGAGAACAATTTACAAATAGCACTAACAACTACATCATTGCTCAATAAACATCACTCATACTTTCTCATAGACCTTTATTTTAGCACAATCTAGGTAATTTTCTCTTCTTTTTACTGAATATTAAAAGAAGGGACAGAAAACAGAAAATGTGGGAGCAGGATTTCTGTCTATCAGCCTGGTGTAGTTCTCAAGGGTAGTATTTAGCCCATTATCATGCTTATTCTGCCCGCAGGTTTGACATTTATTCCAAAAAGCCATGTGCAGTTGACAAGTACTTCCTTGTGAAGACAATTGCAAAGAAAATTCTTCCCAGTGAGTCTAAGGAGATTGCTAGCAACCAAAATTATACCTCTTTAGTAAGTCCTCTGGGATCTCATGGACTTCAACAGAATTTCTTATATGTGAAAACCAGCTGGGTGGAAGAAACAGACAACAGCAACAAAATAGATTAAAAAAAAAAAAAAGCCCATGCCTTAAAGGTAATTTTTTTATAGATAAATAAGTCCTTTTGACTTTTGCGTGTTTGGAGTGTCGAGTAGTAGATCATCAATTTCTTACTATTATTTTTTAATGACAAAAGCTTAAAACTAAAGCAGTCCTCCCACATTATCACCTGGTCCAATACCCCTATTTTATTTTATTTATTTATGTATATTACTATGATTTTTTTATCCAAGTGTAATTAACACACAGGGTTGTATTAGTTTTGGGCATACAATATAATGATGCAACAATTTTTTTTTTTTTAATTTTTTTTTTCAACGTTTATTTATTTTTGGGACAGAGAGAGACAGAGCATGAACGGGCGAGGGGCAGAGAGAGAGGGAGACACAGAATCTGAAACAGGCTCCAGGCTCTGAGCCATCAGCCCAGAGCCTGACGCGGGGCTCGAACTCACGGAGTGCGAGATCGTGACCTGGCTGAAGTCGGACGCTTAACCGACTGCGCCACCCAGGCGCCCCATGATGCAACAATTTTTAGAGATGGGTAAAGCCAAGACTCACAGTGCTGGAATCACCAACCGGACCTCAGACTAAGGCACAACTGAGAAATTAGAGCCTTTGCCTCCTGTCTGCCACTGCAGCGATCTTACTGTCACTATGTCCAAATGAGTTCCCAAATTACATTGTTGTTGTTGGTGGTGGTGCTGTTACTGCAAATTGATGGTGGGGGGGGAACTTTTTTAAAGAATAGGTTCCTGATATCCGTATCTTCAAAGAATAAAAAAAAAAAGAAATCACTTTTTTGAACAAGAAAGCAACATTACATGGGGAAGGGAATTGAAGTTTCTGAATCAAAGACCAGAGAAGAAAATTGAATGGACTAAAGGCAGTCAGAAAGTTTAGATGAATTACTGTCTTGTTTTAAATCTAAATTCATCCTGACACCCATTTCCCTATTTTATAGTTGATTATTTAAGAAACTCTTACAGAAAATGCTTCCAAGGTACAGACTAAATTGAAGTAAAAATCCTAAGGCTGTTCTTTTTATTTTTATACAAGATGCTTCAAGGAAATTAACCAATGTCTTCACAGTATTAAAACATAATTTTAGAGAGGCAAATTTTTTAAAAAATCAAAATAAGAAAGTAATAAATCAAGGCCATTAGGAGCACATTACTTTTTTAGGAAAGAGATTTCATTTCCTCCTGCATCCTCTACCTATAATGGTCTGGCTGATTCAGGTGCTTCTCAGAAATTGGGGTGAAAACAATCTACCCAGGCAGGGAAGTCATGTCACCTTGTAGTTGGGAGGAACCATTTTAGTGTGTCTGAAGACTGTTCTGGCCTTCGGAAGGTTAATTTAGAGAAGCCAGGTAAATGTGAGAGGGAGTGGGTACCACACAGCTTCGTACCTAATGTGTTGTCACACTATTCTTATCCCTTACAACCGTTTAAAAGAATTCTTTTTTTAGACTTTCTATGCTAGTCACCCCAAAATATTCTGTGGTAGTGAGTTCCAAAAACTAATTACATGTCACATAAAAATACCGTCCTTGTATCTATTTCAAGTTGGCCATACCTCAGTCTTTCTTCTTGCACAGATAGTTTACAGATGTTGCTAGGATTTCCGATTCACTAGTTCCTGCTATTGTGGGTTGCTCAGTTTTATTTTGATTTTTGTTTTCTTTTCTAAACATGGCTGCTATTATTGTTCATATTTGCATTTTGTTTACTGGACTATCAGTATCAGAAACGCATGCTGAGGCTGCTTCCTCCACTCCTCTCTCGCCGTGTGAAATCACCCTTCCCACATCTACAGCTTTAGACACCCGCTGTATGCCGATGACCAGATTTTTTTTACCTTCGGCCCAGGCTTCTCCTGTGCTCTGACATTTTGAATCCAAATGTCTACTTGACATCTCCATTGGCACATTTTACAAACATGTAAAACTGATCAACCAAAAAACAAATACTTGATGTCCAAACCAACCATACGGGTAGGTCAGAAAGTGGGTTCGACTGAGTTTAGGTAGCACCTCCAGGGGTCACTACATGGATCTAGTTCATTTCCGTTGCTTACTTAAAGGATGGGTCTTCGGGGCGCCTGGGTGGCTCAGCTGGTTAAGCGTCCACCTTTGGCTCAGGTCATGATCTTGCAGTTTGTGAGTTCCAGCCTCACATCAGGCTCTCTGCTGTCATCACAGAGCCCGCTTCATTTGGGATACTCTGTCTCCCTCTCTCTCTGCCCCTCCCTCTCTTTCTGCCCTCCCTCTGCTCTCTCTCTTTCTCTCTCAAAAATAAACATTAAAAATAAAAAAGAAGAATGGGTCTTCACTAAGGTATTTTCATAGTAGAAATGTACAAAAGAATATCTAAAATATTGGTCAAGTGGATAGGATGTCATGTTTATATTTTGAAAGAGATCAAAGCCAACATTAGAATGTTAAATCTCTGGCAGTAAGCTAAATTCTGTTGGGACACTCATGGAAACTCTCGGTAGATTATATAACACCCCACCAAATCTCACTATATAGTTCCTTTGATTCCACAAACACACATTTAGTATCATACATTGTGGAGACCTGGGGAGGGTACAGTTATGAAGAAAATGGAAATCTGTGTTTGCAAAGAGCTTATACTTTGTTTCTCAGAAAGTGGTGATGTTATTCCCTTTCAGTTCTGGAAAAATTTCTAGGGGATTTCGTTGTCACAATCACTATAGACTGCTAAGTGTCCTGGACAATCAAGAATAATCTCACATCTCACACCCTTTAAAATGTCCTATTGACAACTGATATAAGTGATCTAAGGGCACCTGGGTGGCTCAATAGGTTTAGCGTCCCACTCGGTTCAGCTCAGATCATGATCTTATAGTTCGTGAGTTCAAGCCTCGCATAGGGCTCCGTGTTGATGGTGCGGAGTGTGCTTGGGATTCTCTCTCTCCCTCTCTCTCTGCCCTTCCTCCACTTGCACTCACTCACTCTCTCTGCTTTTCTCTCTCTCAAAATAAATAAGTAAACTTAAAAAAAAATTTTTTTAAGTGATCTAAACAAAAAACCTATTTATCATTATCCTGACCTAGATTCCGATTACATTTTATATATACACAAAGTGGTGTTTGCACGATTTTTACACATACTAAATTTTATAGGATTTAACAACATAAAATTGGTTTGAAGGTTGTACTTTGCTTTGTTTAAAATTTTAGCAAGGTTTGGTCACCATTTCAGAAAAGCACAGCACCAAAGCCAATATTGATCCTGGTTTCAAACCCCAGTGTATCACATGGGCTTCAGCCTTTGCTCCTAGTGGCCTGTTCATGGCATCACATCAAGATGCTAACATATCACCGCTTCATTATCTCTTACGGTGAAGCTTATTTTATTATTAGCTACTTTCCTTTTATTTCTCCTTTATAGTTATGCCAGTATATTGACTTTAAAAATTATGGATGTAGGTAAAACATATGTACTCTAAATTTCATTTCAGGAGAGCAAGAGAGTTGTTACAAAGGATTTATTTTCAAAGTGCATGGAAGAAGTGATAGCATGGAGAATTACTGCCCTACAGGGCAAAACATACAAATACACTGATAATGTGGGCATTTTTGCTCTTTCATAGCTCCATCATAGGCAGCCAGGCATCATTAGTCAAGGCCGTGAGTAACGCGAACATAAATTTTTATACAATTACTCTTTCTCTGCAATCTATTTCCCAGTCCACTTTTTTCAGCTGCAAAGGAGAAACTCAGGCTAAAGAAAATGCTATTGGTTAATGAGATGCTGAAGGAAATAATGCTTTTCACAAGAAGCTTTCAGAACAGGGAACATGCAGGCAGGGGGGCTGAGGGTTGCTTAGGGCAAAACCCAGCAGGCAAGTTAGTGGATAGGAGAGCAAGAATAGTTCGGTGTGTGTTTAGTGCCCCTTTGATAGACACGACCATAGCTCTCCTTCTAGAACTAAGTGGATAAAACATCTGGCACGGAATGCTTTCTTCCCCAACCAGTGGAATCTGACAACTGTGGTTTAAGCCTTAGAAGTAAAATTAAAGATTTACTTTAATAAATTAGGGAATTGTGTTGAAGGTTGCTAGGTGACAAAGGTCAGGAAGGTTGCTAGGGGCAGGGATCAGAACTGTTTTGGACTGAATATATGTCAGATTCTCCTAGAAACTTCAGAGTGATCATTTTCTTAAAATAAGTAGATAAGCCAACAAATAAAGGCTAGACAAATACACACCCTCAATCACCGGGTGAGGGGAAGGAAACCAAAATAAACAACAACAAAACAAACCGGAAAAGGCATTATCCTAAAGTACAGGCCAACCAGGCGGTAGTCCCGAGAAGCCATCATCTGCTTTCCCCCAAACCCATCATCCGCACACTCCACCCCAAGTCTTATCACCAAGACATTAATTAGGAGCTTAGCTTTGAGAAGGCCAGTGGATGGTTGGGCACTACACAATGGGAAGCTTCAGCCACCAGTTAAAATCTAGGCCTAGGCCAGGATGTTCCCAGGGTCTCAGACGGCCCTTGAGCAACCATGAATGGAACGGCCTGGTGATATGCTTACCTCACTTTGCAGTGCAGGCCCCTGCCTGACACATTGGTGAGCATCCCGGAGAGCCTATGAGGGGACTTTGGCATTGGCCTTCATGGCCACACCCCCACATTCCTTGCCTACCAGTATATCCTCTGCTATCCCCAAAAGAATCTAGAATTCCAGTTTGCTACACGATTTTCCTTTCTCTCACTTCTTCGGTTCAGGACACGTGGATTTTATCTGCAACAATGAAAACATTCCACTCCTTCTTCAAGCCTTCTCTCTCCACTGAGCATCCTCAGCATTTCTTTTCCATGATTCACTTGGGTCTAGATTTAGCTACAGTTGTCTGTGAGCAAAATGCTAGAAGCTAGAAGCTTCATGCTAACATGAAGCAGGAAATGTATGTGGTATCTTGCATGTGTACATATCATTGGCTCTATTTTACTGAGAAGAAAACTAAAACTCAGGAAAGATGTAACTTGCCCACAGTCTTGATCAAGTAGTGGTGCTATGGGATTTGAAGTTTGGTCCAACTGATAACTCATGTGTACTGCGGCTTCCTTTAGAAGAACCTGGAGAGCAGAATCTTTTATACTCCCAGGTCACTGAGCACTTCCCCTTTCGGTACTCTCATTAGACACAGAATTAATAGTCCAGTGTCTGCCTTCTCCATTAGACTGGGAGGTTCACGGGGACAGGAATGGTGTCCATCTTCCTTTCCATTCTGTCCCTGGTGCCTAGGGGCACGCCTCCTACAAAGGACAAATTCCTATAACGCTTCTACTTCTTACAGCTGCTCCTCGGTGCCTGCAAAAGGGCATCTGGACCCTTTGTGTGTAAGTTCCAAGTGTTCATTTCCGATCATTTAGCAAATAAAGTCAATCTCAGAAACTACAGAAAGGGAAACAAGAATGTTTCCCATTGAAAGTATGTACTATGTTCCAACAACATATGAAGTCTTCTCTTTTGATAATTCTGCATCATCTACAATTAGTATTAGCTAGGCACACATCTATCTCCCTAGATAGACTACATATCAAAACTTTCACCTACGTATTGTTTAGGAACACTTATTATTAGGTACATACATTATTATCTAGTGGAAATTCTGAAATTTAAAAGTCATTGGTAATATGTTTGTTATTAATTAAATCTCTGACAGAATACAAAGGGCAAGGAAGAATAAAATGTCCCCATATTAAGAGCAGAATTATGTAAACTAGCCAAACACTAGAATGATTACATTAATTGTGGTACATCCATCCAATGGAATACCACCCAATGAAAATAAATTATTATACATCCAACAGTCAAATGATCTCATAATGCAACTTAAGTAAAAGTGGCCAGAAACAGAAAAGTAATAAAGTCCATTTATATAAAGTCCAAATTTGATGTTAGAAGTCAGAATATTGATTACTCTGGCATTAGACATAGTAGTGATAGGGAGGGAGCCCAGGGAACTTCTGGGTTGCTGGTAATGCCGTATTTCTTGATCTGGGTGCTAGATCACAAGTGTTCACTTTGAGAAACTTTATTAGGCACTTATGAGTTGTGCAATTCCCTATGTGTGTTATGTTTTAATGAAGTCTGTTTTTTCAAAAGTTCTCCATGGTACCAATATTGGTGGATCAATTTTTATATTGCATCTTACACATGTAGTGGTAGATAAGATACTTCTTGGTGCACTCCTGTCTCACCTACATTTTCTTTAGTGACTTTGCTGTTTATCTACTTATTTATGCTTGTGTATCCTGGGAACTAATTGGAAGACTTCCTAGCCTACTACTCACTATTCATGGGTTAGATGTTGAAATTCAAGCATTTACTCGAACATGCTCAAAACACACATGTGACTTAAATATGGGTTTTCCTATGCCTTTGTGAATGTCCAATTCATATCTTAATGTATTCTACACCTTAGTGACATAAAGGAAATGAGTCAATAGTATAGAATGATCTACATACAAATCTTATTAACTTGATTGGTCAAAAATCTAAATTAAAAAAAAAAAAAGCCAAGTGAAGTCACAAAGACTCTTTCCAAACACTACATTAAAAATAACTTGTTTGGGCGCCTGGGTGGCTCAGTCAGTTGAGCAACCGACTTCAGCTCAGGTCATGATCTCATGGTTTGTGAGTTCGAGCCCTGTGTCAGGCTCTGTGCTGACAGCTCGGAGCCTGGAGCCTGCTTCTGATTCTGTGTCTCCCTCTCTCTCTGCCCCTCCCCCGCTCATGCTCTGTCTCTCTTTGTCTCAGAAATAAATAAACATTAAAAAAAATAAAAAAAATAACTGACTGTATTTAGTGCTGACCTTCAATTATTTAAATCTATTTTAGAACATAATTAACATTAGCCCACCACATTATATTGAACTGAGAACTGAAGTGAACCATTTTAAAAATAAAATTTTATTAGAATGTTAAATCGCATAGTTATGAAATGTGTGTGTGTATGTGTGCATACATATGTATGTATGATCTTTTCTCTGGTGCCACTTATGCAAAATTTCCCATAACATTTGCTTAAGTAGGGAATGAGCCTGATCATGTACCCTATTGTGTTCACTGCATCCAAATATTATTTTAGTTATAATAGTTTAAAAGGACTGCCATCTCCTTACTCTGCTACTAAGGGGCTACTTTAATACTAACGATAATGATAATAATATCCAACTAACTAAGCAAAGATGGTATATACCAAGGCATGGCAAGAGGCGTCAAATAAACTGCAATGAAGAAAGTAAAATACAATGGATACAGATCATTCAAAGGAAGAGGTCACAGAACTCTTCTCTCCCTTCCATAAACCCAGCAGGAACTTTCGAACAAAGAGGAGACACCCTAAGACCACGCGATGAGCTCTCAGGAAGGTCCCCCTTTCCAGCCTGAGCCCAGATCTTTCTCCTGGGACCCGGGGAGGCGTTGAGCCCTGGGGGAGCCACTTCAGACTGCAGGGAGGTCGGTGAGCAGCGGGCGGGCGGGCTCCCAGGCGCCGGTCCCGGGCGAGAGGCACCTGCCGAGGGGCACAGCACAGCAACCAGTTCATTGGGGTCCCCGGAAACCTCAGGCTCTGGGCGGCGGCGGCTGGGCGAGCGCTCCTGTGCGTCTCTGCAGCCCGTGCACTCATCACGTTATATAGCGTCAGGCGACAGGAAGAGGCCGGCTTAGCTTTGATCATCAAATTCTGGACCCAACTCTGCACCTTTCTTTTTTTTAGAGCAGGCAGGAGCCCGGGTGTGCTCAGAGCTCCGGGGTTAACGCTTTCAGAGCCAGGGCGGAGAACCGCCGGGAGGGGTGGGGGCTGGGGGTGGGGCGGGGATGTCTGGCCCTCCCAGGGAAAAAAAAAAAAGAAGAAAGCCACCAGGCTGCCTGCGGCAGTGGAGAACCGCTGCCTTTGTCTCCGCGCGGCCCTGAGGTTTCCTGGCCGCTTCCCGCCAGCGGGCGGCCTCCTGGCAGCAGCCACCGGCGGCGGGAGGGCCGGGCGCACGCCGAGGGCCGCGGTACCCTTCTCGTCCGCCCTGCACGGCCGCCCCAGCCGAGATCGGGGCGCAGCCAGGCGTGCGTCCCCCACACTTGATCCCCTCCCGTCCGGGCCCTTTCTCTGCGGGTTCTGAGAGCTCCGGTAACAAGGCCTCTCCTCTACTCACCGCACTCCCAGGGCCCTGTTGGGAGCGGTCCTGAATCTCCAAGGTTGCACAGACCATGCGGAAGGACCGTCTCTAACTTCTGTCTGGTTCTAGAGCTGGGGCCTTCCTCCCATGCACTTCTTGCTGTCTGGGGTAGTTCGGGCCAGAGAGAATCAGCAGAGGAAAAACTTCCCGCCTAAGACAGGAAAAAGCTTGGCAGGCTGTGGGATACCTTGGCCACTGTTTTCCTCATCAACACCATAATCATCAAAGGGCTCTTGCTGCCTTAGTATCCTAAGTACTGGAATTCCGGAATTACCTCTCCAAGGTCGTTCCACTACCCCCAAGTTGTTTAAAGAAGTTTGGTGCTTGCGTAAAGGGCTCTTGTCTTCCTCACTGACTCCCACAAGCTGCTTGTCTGAAAGTTAGTCTGGTCCTGAGGGGTCCTGCAGTTCACGGATTCCCAGGGTTTCACCAGGTGCTGAAAACATCACTTCAGAGCCGGCTTCCCCATCAGGACCAAGTGTTCCCTGATAGCTTTCGTGAAATGGGCAAATTCTACTCTCTGCCAGAGTTCCAGGATGGAAGGGGATGACTCACAAAAGGAGCCCCCTAGGGGTAAATACCGCCCACAGGGATCAGAGCATCTGCCCCTTCAAATGGAGGCCCTTCTACCAGAAGTTCAAAGAGGATCCACAGAGTAGAACATACAGGATGAAAATGGCAACTCTTCTGGTCTGTGAATCAAAAGACAGAGGGCAGAGGGTCTTGTCTTGTTCAGCTTTGTCTCCCCAGTGCTGGAGCATAACATCATGATGGTTTCTTAAGTGAACTATGAATAAATGAAGGTCAGTGAGTGAGGACAAAGTCCTGTGATCTCAGATCTCAACTTTGGAACTTCGGTTTTGACGTCTACAGCGTGTGCAACTAACACAGACTTACCCGTGGGACTCAAATACATTCAAATGTCAGTAGGAAGCCACTCTATAAACTACAATATTATTGTTTTTATTAAGGTGATGTTTGTCTAGGATATTATTTGAAGGCATTTTTTTAAGTTGATTTATTTTTTGAGAGAGAGAGAGAGAGAGAGAGACCTCGAGCTGGGGAGGGGCAGAGACAGAAGATTCGAAGTTGGTTCTGCACACTGACAGCAGAGAGAGAGCCTGATGTGCGGCTCGATCTCAGAACCAGGAGATCATGACCTGAACTGAAGTCATACGTTTAACCGACTGAACCACCCAGGCGCCCCTTTAAGGCATTTTTCTTGAAATATAATGCCAATATGCAGGAGCCAAACCTTGGAGAAAACTGATCAAGGATTGAGTCCTGCAGTGTCAACTGTGGGGTAGTTCCAGGTCTCTCTAAGCTCATCTGTAGGATAAAAATAATACTGATATTACAGAAATGTAAGAGGGAACAAATGAAAGCATGCAACAGGT